TCTTCCTCCTCATCTTCCTTCTCCTTTCTTCTTCCGTGCCAGTCAGTACTGGGACTTAAACTTAGGACCTAGGCACAATCCCTTAGCTTTTTCACTCAAGGCTGGCATTCTACCACTTGAGTCATGCCTCCAGTTCCAGCTTTTTCACTCAAGGCTGGCATTCTACCACTTGAGTCATGCCTCCAGTTCCAGCTTTTTGCTGGTTAACTAGAGATAAGAGTTTCCTGCCTGGGCTGGCTTTGAACTGCAATCCTCAGTTCTCAGCCTCCTGAGTAATGAGGATTACAGGCCTGAGCCACTGGTGTCCAGCTCCTGGCATAGGTAGTCCTTACCTGGTGGCATTTCGTGTCTTTGCAGCTGGAGGAACTGGCCGCCTCGTTCACCTCTCTGCTGGCCTACGGCCTGTCTCTCATCCGGAAGTTCCGCTCGGTCTTTCCTCTCTCTGTCGCTGACTCCCCAGTCCGGCTGCAGTCTCTCCTCAGGTCAGTGGCCGCCCTTCTGCAGGGCTTAGGGAGGAGGCTCAGGGGGCACGTGCAGGGGTGAGGAGGCCTACTGGATCAGCAATGGCAGAAGCGGGGTGGGGGTGGGGGTGGTAAGCTTGTGAATGACCGCCGTCTCCCAGGGTCCTGGTACAGATGTGCAAGATGAAGGCCTTCAGAGAATTGTGTCCTGACAGTGCTCCGCTGCCCCAGCTGGTGACCGAGGCCCTGCGGGTAGGCGCCTCCCTGGGGCAGGGAAGGGGCTGGGCCCCACAGTATCTCCTTCCTCACGGCCTTTCTGCCAACAGACTGGCACAATTGAGTGGTTTCACCTGAAACAACAGCACCATCAGCCCATGGTACAGGTAGAGGATGGGGGCAAGGGCTGGGGCTGGAGATGGGGCCTGGGGATAAGGTTGGGGGCTGGGCCGGGGCAGGGAATGGGGATGAGGCTGGAGATGGGGCCTGGGATGAGGCTGGGGGCTGGGGCTGGGGCTGGAGATGGGGCTGGGGCGGGGCTGGAGGCAGGCTGGTTGCCCCTGTAGCCCTGCTCAGCCCTTCTGGGTCTGGGCCAGGGCGTGCTAGAGGCCGGCAAAGCCTTGCTGAACCTGGTCCAGGACATCACAGGCGACCTGCACCAGTGCCAGCGCACGTGGAACAAGATCTTCCACAAGTGAGCAGGTGCTGGTGGGAAGCTGGTGGGGTCCAGGGCCTGACGGCACCCAGGGGGGTCAAACCTCGCCTGCTGCCTTTCCTCCAGTGTCCTCAAGATCGACTTCTTCCCCTTGGCCTTTCTGGAGCTGCAGTGGCTGGTGAGACCCTCTTACCATCCCCAGGCCGCGCCCCTCTGCCCATCTCCAGGGCCTTGCCTACCACGACTTTCCCCTGCAGGTGGCTAAGCGGGTGCAGGACCACACGGTGGCGGTGGGCAGCCCCGTGTCCCCGCAGATGGGCGAGAGTCTGTTCCAGCTTTATGTGAGCCTCAAAGAGCTCTACCAACTGGGGCCAGACCCCTCAGACAGGTGATTAGCCCAACGTGCTTGTAGGCGGGCTGGGTGGTGGGCAGTCAGGGGAGAAGAGAATAGTCAAGGGCGGTGCCCGTGGGCACCTGCCCCCTCCTTCCCACCTTCCCCAGGGTAAGGGGGGCCCTGGCTCTCCACAGGGAGGGAGTCCTGCCTCTGGATGGTTTCCACCGCTGGTTCCAGCCTGCGATCCCCTCCTGGCTACAGAAGACCTACAGCGTGGCCCTGGAGCGGGTGCAGCGTGCTGTGCAGATGGACAAGGTCAGGACGAGGCCCTGAGGGTGGGGTGAGGCTGAGGCTTCTGTGGGAGGCTCAGGGCTGGTACCTTTCCTCCAGGTGCTGGGTGTGTGTAAAATGAGGCTTGGTACCTTAGTGCTGACTGGCTGTCTTTGCCTGCAAGCTGTGGGCGGGAGGGGAGGTGGAGGTGGGAGGCGAGGTCTGGACAGAACTCTGCTTTTTTTGGGGGGAGAGGGTTGTGGGGCTTGAACTCTGGGCCTGGGCGCTGTCCTTCAGCTCTTCAGCTCAACGCTAGCACTCTACCACTTGAGCCACAGTGCCACTTCTGGCTTTTTCTGTTTATGTGGTGCTGAGGAATCGAACCCAGGGCTTCATGCATGAGAGGCAAACACTCTACCACTGAGCCATCTTCCCAGCCCCCTGGTCTGGCTTTGAACCGAGATCCTCAGATCTCAGCCTCCTGAGTAGCTAGGGTTACAGGCCACCAGCACCACCACCACCTGGCAGAACTCTGCTTTTCTTCCCTTGAACCTCCAGCTCAACTCTGTGCTTGCTAGTATGGGGCTGGATTTGTCTAAGTCCTGAACCCTTTCCTTTCCTTTCTTTTCTTTTCTTTTCCTTTCCTTTCCTTCTTTCTTTCTTTTTTTCTTTCTTCCTTTCTTTCTTCCTCTCTTTCTTTCTTTCTTCCATTGGTTGTGGGGCTTGAGCTCTGGGCCTGGGCGCTGTCCTTCAGCTCTTCAGCTTAAGGCGAGCGCTCTACCACTTGAGCCACAGCGCCACTTCCGATTTTCTGGTGGTTTATTGGAGATAAGAGTCTCATGGTCTCTCCTGCCCGGGCTGGCTTTGAACCGCGATCCTCAGATCTCAGCCTCTTGAGTAGCTAGGATTAGACGTGAGTCACCAGCGCCCGGCTTGAACCCTCCTTTCTAAATGCTCCCCTTTCCCCCTAGTTGGTGCCCCTTGGAGAGCTGACCAAGCACAGCACGTCAGCTGTGGATCTGTCCACCTGCTTTGCTCAGATCAGCCACACTGCGCGGCAGCTGGACTGGCCGGACCCAGAGGAGGCCTTCATGATTACTGTCAAATTCGTGGAGGTTTGGAATTTTCTCCAACTTTGTAGAACCCCCTCACTACCACCCCACCCTGCTCCCACGAGCAGCCTCCCAAGGCCTGGGTCCTAACTCTTCCCACATTGCTGGGATTCCTAATCCCCCTATTTACCCTATTTCTCACACATTATCAATCCTCTCTGACCCCCACTCCAGGACACCTGCCGGCTGGCCCTGGTATACTGCAGCCTGATAAAGGCCCGGGCCCGAGAGCTCTCTGAAGGCCAAAAGGGTCAGGGCCAGGCAGCTAACATGGTAGGGGGAGCTGGGAAGCAGAGGGCTGGCCAGGGTGCTGGTGTGCTGGTGTGCTGGTGGCGGTGTCCGGACGCCCTGCATTCCTCTGCCCACGCCTGCCCCCAGCTGTGCGTGGTGGTGAATGACATGGAGCAGCTGCGGCTGGTGATTGGCAAGCTGCCCACTCAGCTGGCCTGGGAGGCACTGGAGCAGCGGGTTGGAGCCGGGCTGGAGCAGGGGCAGCTGCAGAACACACTCCATGCCCAGCTGCAGAGTGCACTGGCTGGGCTGGACCATGAGATCCGCACGGGCGTCCGCACCCTGGCTGAGCAGGTATGTTGTTTGACCCCACAGTGAACTTGTTCTGGCCCCCAACAGGATTCCCTACTTCCTAAACTCTGTGTGTGTGTGTGTGTGTGTGTGTGTGTGTGTGTGGCCTACTTCCTAAACTCTGTGTGTGCGTGTGTGTGTGTGTGTGTGTGTGTGTGTGTGTGTGTGTGTGGCTTGAACTCAGGGCCTGGATGCTGTCCCTAAGCTTTTGTGCTCAAGGCTAGTACACTAGCAATGGCACCACTGGCTTTTTGGTGGTTCATTAGCAATAAGACTCTCACAGGCTGGGTGCCAGTGGCTCATACCTATAATCCTAGCTATTCAGGAGGCTGAGATCTGAGGATCATGGTTCAAAGCCAGCCCGGGCAGAAAGGTCCATGAGACTCTGATCTCTAGTAAACCACTAGAAAACCGGAAATGGTGCTGTGGCTCAAGAGGTAGAGCAATCGCCTTGAGCTGGGGAGCTGAGGGATAGCGCCCAGAGTTCAAGCCCCACGACCGACCAAAAAAAAAAAAAAGACTCTCACAGATGTGTTCAGGCTCTGGTTTTCAGTGGGGATCCTCAGATCTCAACCTCCTGAGTAGCTAGGATTACAGACATGAGCCACCAATGCCCAGCCCTTAACTTAAATTCTGGTCCCAAGTGAAATCTTTTTTGTTGTTGTTGTTGGTCAGGGGGCTTGAACTCTGGGCTTGGGCACTGTCCCTGAGCTCTTCAGCTCAAAGCTAGCGCTCTACCACTTGAGCCACAGCGCCACTTCTGGTTTTCTGGTGGTTTATTGGAGATAGAGTCTCACAGAGTTTCCTGCCTGGGCTGGCTTTGAACCACAATCCTCAGATCTCAGCCTCCTGAGTAGCTAGGATTACAGGTGTAAGCCACTGGCACCCAGCTAGGTTTTTGTGTTTGGTTTCCTACCCCCCTCCCCCAATCATGGGCTTGAACTCTGGGCCTGAGCACTGTCCCTCAGCTCTTCAGCTCAAGGCTAGTGCTCTACCAATGGATCCACAGTACCACTTCCAGCTTTTTCTGTTTTATGTGGTGCTGAGGAATCGAACCCAGGGCCTCATGCATGCTAGGCAAGCACTCTACCACTTAGCCACCTTCTCGGGCCCCAAGTGAACCCTTTTACAACTCATTTCCTGGCTTCCCTCCGCTCTGGGTCCCCAGCTGGAGGCGGGTATCGCCAAGCAGATCCAGAAACTCGTCGGTGTCAGGGATTCGGTGCTGCCGGAGGACGTGAGTGCTTCTCCCGCTTGCTGACCTAAAACTGCTCTGCTCAGCCCCTTCTGTGAGCCTGGGGTCACCAAGGGGGTTGGGGGGATAGAGTTGAGGACCTTGGAGGTGTTAGAGAACAGTCCCCCAGACTCGGGCACAGTCTACTGTCTCCCTGAGCCTCAGTTTCCTCAGAGGAGCAGTTGGCACCCGTCTGTCTCAGTGCCTATGGTGCGTGGTGTATGCAAGTCCGCTGGCCTCAGCAGCCACAGGCGATGTGCACCTCTCATCGTTTGGGGGGAGGCTGGTCATTCATTCATCAACAGTTGAGTAAAAGCTCATGTTGTCGCAGACGCTGATTTCACAGTGGGTTGTTTACAGAACTAGGTTACAATTCCTGATTTCCTAGAGCGCTGGGGAGGGGCGGTGAAGGAAAGCAAAGTACAGAAGTCTATGTACCTATAGCCTTAGGTACAGCTGTGGGACACAGGCTCTGGTGGAGTAGGTTAGGTAAGGATACGAACGAAAGTGAAAAGTAGAACAGGAAAGGGGGAGGAGGTATCAAAGGGTTCTTTTTTTTTTTTTTTGCCGGTCATGGGGCCTGAACTCTGGGCCTGGGCGCTGTCCCTCAGCTCTTCAGCTCAAGGCTAGCGCTCTACCACTGCAGCCACAGCACCACTTCCGGCTTTTTCTGTTTATGTGGTGCTGAGGAATGGAACCCAGGGCCTCATGCATGCAAGGCATGCACTCTACCACTGAGCCACCTTCCCAGCCCCAAGGGTTCTATTTTTATATTTATTTATTTTTTTGTCAGTTGTGGGGATTGAACTCTGAGCCTGGGTGCTGTCCCTCAGCTCTTCAGCTCAAGGCAACTGCTCTACCACTTGAGCCACAGCGCCACTTCTGGTTTTCTAGTGGTTTATTGGAGATAAGGGTCTCACAGACTTTCCTACCGGGGCTGGCTTTGAACCGTGATCCTCAGATCGCAGCCTCCCAAGTAGCTGGGATGACAGGTGTGAGCCACCAGTGCCCCGCTAAGGGTTGTGTTTTTAGAAAGTGGCTGGGGAAGGCAAGAGGAGGGTGAACAGCTGATCCAAAAACCTGCCAGAAACAAGGGAAGGCGCTATGAGCTTCTAGAGGAATTGCATTTCAGGCAGGAACAGCCAGGGCACAGGTCTGGGGCAGCACTGTACCTGCAGAACACGCAGGACACACAGGAGGGCAGTGTGGCTGGACATTCTGAGTGATGGGAAGAGCTGGGCAGGGGCCAGGTACACAGACTTCTCCTCTGGGTCCAAGGAAGGGAATGAGGGCAGGATCCAAATGGACCTGAGCCTGATACACACCCCACCCCTTCCCAGGCCATTCTGCCCCTGATGAGGTTCTTGGAGACGGAGCTTTGCTACATGAACACCAACCTGGTGCAGGAGAATTTCAGCAGGTCTGAACAGCCCCGTCCTGTGATGATGCCCCACGCCCCCCCACCAAGGTCTTAGCATCCATCAGGGAGTGTGTGTGAACCCCTTCAGCGACCTCTAGACCGTGCAACCAGCCTCTGTTTAAATGCTTGCTCCTAGGACCGGGAGCTCACTAGTTTACCTGCCTGCCTCCTCTCTCATGCTGCAGTGCAAGTTCTTCCACAGGCTGAGCTGAAAGCTGCCTATTCATCCTCCCTTAGTCAATGCCCTTGATCACAGGTCCGGCCTCTTCTGAGCATAAATGGATCGCAGAAGGTGCCACAAGCAGGGTCTGTGCACAGGAAGTACAATGACTTATCTGTAGTGTTGTGATCTGCTGCCCAAGTGCTGGGATTAAAGGCATGTACCACCATGCCCTGCTGGCAATGCCATCTTGAATTATGATTCTGACACCAGGATCCAAACATCTTTTGCCACTTTTTTTTTTTTTTTTTGCCAGTCCTGGGGCTTGAACTCTAGGCCTGGGCACTGTCCCTGAGCTTCTTTGGCTCAAAGCTAGCACTCTACCACTTGAGCCACAGCGCCACTTCTGGCTTTTTCTGTGTATGTGGTACTGAGGAATCAAAGGCAGGGCCTGATGCATGCTAGACAAGCACTCCACCACTGAGCCACCTTCCCAGCCCTCACCACTGTTTTGTGGTTTGTTAGAGTTCCAACAAACCTTGGGAAGCCAACCAACCCTATCCATAACTACCTGCCAGACCTGGTCCTAGCTTTATCTGTTGGGCGGGTAGAAGGGGTGATAGGGGAGGGCCAGAGACTCTGAGGCTTCTCCTTTCTCAAGCGTGTCTTTTCTTCTACCTCCCATCATCCTGTTTGGTGTCTGACGCCCCTTTGCCCTTGGCCAGCCTTCTGACCCTGCTCTGGACTCACACGCTCACCATACTGGTGGAGGTGGCCGCCTCCCAGAGGAACTCGCCCCTGGCCTCTAACAGGCTGAAGGTAGCCCTGCAGGTAACCATGCTGGCTATAAGGGTAATAATTCTGGAGGAGGATGCCTGGGGACAGCATTTATTTATTTTTTTGTCTCTCTCAGGGCCTGTATGCCTGCTTCCATGCTCGAGGCTGTGGCCTGCCACAAGAGGCCCTGCACACAGCCACTTTCCAGGTAAGGAGGGCAGGTCAGGAAGAATGCTGTTCTGTACTTAACCTTTGTCCTGGGTTAATGATGTAATTCGTGGAACTCAGAGTACAATGAAAAGGAGTCCCCCCACCTCCCCCCCGCCCCCATTTAAAGTTATTCTGAATTTTTGGCTGACAGAGTAGCTCAAGTGGGAGCGCACCTGCCTGAATTCCAGCTTAGTACTGACAAAAGGAAGCATGCATTATAAGCAAGCAGAATGCTGGTAGCTCACATCTGTGATCCTCAGGAGCCTGAGATCTGAGGATTATGCAGTTCAAAGCCATCCTGGGTAGGAAAGTCCATGAGACGCTTTTTCTCAATTAACCACCCAAAAGCCAAAAGTGGGGGAATGGCTCAAATGGTAGAGTGCCAGCCTTGAGTGACAAAGCTCAGATTTAGTGCCCAGATCCTAAGTTTAAGCCCCACTACTGCTCCCCGCCCCAAAGAAAGATGGCGGCAGAAAAGCAGTCACTCAAGTGTGGAGTCCTTGAAAGCACAGGGAACACAGGACCCTGGGAACACAGGGCCTGGTCAATTCCATGATCAGGTACATGAGTGTCCACCTGGCTGTGACCCTGCAGGCGCTGCAGAGGGACCTGGAGCTGCAGGCAGCGTCTACCCGCGAGCTCATCCAGGAGTACTTCTGCAGCCGCATCCAGCAGCAGGTACGGCTCCCGCTCTGCACCCACCGCGGCCTGCAGGCGCACCTGCCCGGGTCTCCTCCAGCTGACCTTGGACCTATCCCCCATGCCAGGCAGAAACCACCTCCGAGGAGCTGGGCGCCGTCACCGTCAAGGCCTCCTACCGCGCCTCAGAGCAGAAGCTACGCGTGGAGCTGCTCAGTGCCTCCAACCTGCTGCCCTTAGACTCCAATGGTGAGTGGCGGCTGCCCACTGGCCCCGCCCTGCGGCTGCTCCATGTGACTCCTGGTTACCAGGAGGGGCCCTGCTGCTCTGGGAGTGTCTGCTGAGGACTCAGCCAGTGCCCCTCTCCTGGGCTTCTCACCAGGCTCCAGTGACCCCTTTGTCCAGCTGACCCTGGAGCCCAGGCACCGGTTCCCCGAGTTGGCCCCACGGGAGACCCAGAAGCACAAGAAGGACCTCCACCCATTGTTTGATGAGACCTTTGAGTTGTGAGTGGGTCCCCACTCTTCTCCCGGCCTTCCCTTTCCTTCCTCCTGGGTCTTCCTCTATGAGCCTCTGAGATGATCACATTGGCCAGAGGGAAAAGGCACTTGGGATACCAGTTTGCCTCCTGCTGGGCCCTGGTGGCTCAGGACTGTAAGCCTTAGCTGCTCAGGAGGCTGGGATCTGAGGATTGATTCGAGTTTGAAGCAGGCCAGGCAGGAAAGTCTGTGAGACCCTTCTTTTTTTTTTTTTTTTTTGGTCCGGTCGTGGGGCCTGAACTCTGGGCCTGGGCGCTGTCCCTCAGCTCTTCAGCTCAAGGCTAG